AGAAGAGAAGAGAAGAGAAGAGAAGAGAAGAGAAGAGAAGAGAAGAGAAGAGAAGAGAAGAGAAGAGAAGAGATGACCATGCTAGAAAGTTCCACTGTTGTTTGTTTTCAGAGATTACAGGTCTGGCCATTTCAGTAATGCTATATGAGTGAGTAAAACCTACCGGAAGAGACATAAAAAAGAAACAGCTTCATGTTTTGACTGCCTGCATTGCACACAGCTGGATCTCACCACCAGATTCCTTAAGAGGAGACACAGAAGGAGCTGGAAATAGACCTGCTTTTTGAAAGAAAGAGATGCCTCTCTCCTTTCAGCCCAACATTCCAGGCTGACGGAAGACCCCAGTTGGTCACTTTCTAGAACCTTCTCTCGGGGAGAGCATTACATTGCATTGGGCTGCAGGCAACCTGAAACATGTGGGTGCCTGTAACAGGTTATCAGGGTTACAGAAGCAAAATAATTGGACTATGACTCTATTACCACAGTGCTGGGGATCTTCTATATTCATGTGGGCCACCTTCTCCTCACCCTAATAAGCAATGACTTATGTGTGGAAGAAGCCTTCTTCTGTATCTCTCAAAGATGATCTATCAGTATCCCTGTGCTGTCTCATCCCCTTCCAACACCAAAACCATTTAAATAATCTTCCTTGCTTCCTCCTGGGAATGACAATAAAGAGGTCCTCTCTGTTCTAGCATGTCTTTCTGTGCTTCTGCTCTGCTTTTCACCTTCCCTTCTTTTACCCGCTACCAGTTTTCTCTCCGTCTTCCTTGGATGGCAGGGCAAACCGCCTTAGGAAGAAGGGAACGCCAAAGGAATCTCTTCACCAACCAACAGGGAAGATAGGAGAGATTTCTGAGCTAGTAAAGATGAGACAGTCTGGGGAGGGGGGGGTTGGGTGGTACTCACTCCCTTTCTGCACATCTCCAACCATTGCTGTCATTTGTGCTATAAAAAGCCATAGCTCCTAGAATAACAGTGCTGCCAGCTGGAAAGATGTCTCCCACCACAACTGTATTTACTCACCATCTCATTGTAGGCATCCTTGCTAAGCCTTGGGGTCAGTTTGATGGTCCCCATAAAGACAAAGAAGAGCCCCAAGGCCACCGAGAGGGCCACTATGGTTATAGTTCGGGGTGAGGCCATTGGAATCAGGCTGCTGCTGCTCCGCATGTGCTCCGACCCCCCGGCTGTGCAAGAGATGGTCAGTCACCGTGGAAGGAGATGGGGAGCGGAAGGCTGCAGAAACAGAGAGGATGATACAAAGCAGAGTGGGAATGCAGCTTAGCTGCCTCTGGGTCCTAACATCCCCCTTTTTCACAGCGTTGGCAAGGTGACATCTGCCAAACAACAGGCAGGAGAGGCTGGGTGAGCTTGTCATGGCACCCACCCTCCGAAATTTCTGGCAAAAGCTTTGCACTTGTCCATGATGGCTCTTGGCCATGCAAGAAAGCTGCAGAACCATTTGATGCTCACTAATGTAAATGCTAGGAATGTGTCATAGCAGCTGCCTCTCTCTTTTTCCTTTACAATTATCAAGTGGTTAAGGATGGGAATTTTAGCCCTAAAAAAATTCCAACCCTTCTTCTCCTCTTCTTTCTTCTCCTCCTTCTCCTTCTCCTCCTTTCTTCTCAGCAGGTAGCCCCTTGGACCACTTCATTAACTATTCCATTCCCAGGTAATTATGTAGCAGTCTTTAAGGTGCCACAAGACCCTTTGCTGATTTTGCTCCCAAACCCTTGCAATTCCAAGATCCTACTCTGTAGTCCACAGAAACCAACCATTTATTTCCCTCCATCCCTTCTCCTCTGTATCAGCCAAGTTGCTGCCCTTTTCCCATCCCCGCCATGACACTGAAGTCATTAACATGCTTCATCCACGCATATCTGTGCTGTAGACAATTTGGAGGAAAGAAACTTGGCCTCCTTCAAATTGGCTTGATAAATTGGTGGGATTGATGGCAATGCATGCCATGCCCTGTTTGTTGGCAACGTAGAGCGAGCAGGGTTCAGAGATGTGCAACAGCTGTATAATCACAAAGATAATGAACATCCTGGTGCTAGAAACACATTAATTCTTATTCTTGAGATAGAATATTGTTGCAGGCAATTCCAAAAGATGGTCAGCAAATGTAGCACTCTCTTCTGGGCAGTAAATCACAAGAGGTAAGAATAGAAGTATCAAGCCATTGGTGGTCTGGAGTCCATGGTCTGAACTGTTTTTCCCCCGTTCTCATTCCTGTTGAGCAAGGGACTCTAGCTCAGGGTTAAAGTATTGTGAGAGAAATCTCTCCGGTTAAAATAGTAAGTCATGTGAAGAAGGTCATCCTGAGATGTTTGAGTTGCTTATTGGAGTAGAGTAGAGAGAAGCACTGATAAATCACCTGCTTGCTAATATGGCAGCCTCCAACTCCAAGACTGGCACAAAGGTAAAATGGGTGGCCCAGAATGCTAAAAATACCCCTTACGCACAATAGGAATGGCATTGAAACACCTCAGATGAGCTTACATCCCAGTAAGTTTCTATTATTAAATGCACAGATAATACTGGTTTGTCAGGAAGAAGGTCAACAAGAAACAAAGCAATGGGCTTAAATGACCAACTTCAAAGTTCATGAGATGTTTTGATCCCTTTCTTTGCAAAATCAGCATTTGAGATCTATATAGTACTCTCTTAGAACCAACATTTTAGGTATGAGCCTATGGAAGCTCTGTCAAAGCTACAAGATCATTGCTCCAGGAATGACACTGACCTGTATACACTTCACATTTAAGCCATGGTTTATTTAACCAGAGTTTATTGAATGCACCACAAAATGGCTGGCTTTATACAGCACTTGAAACCAAAACCCAACAAACTATATGATGTCTTGGCAGAAAGCGTGGATCAGAAATATATGGAGTCCTTTTAAACCTTTTTTCAAGAATTGTTGCAGGAAATGATCTGGTTCTCAAGGACAAACAAAGCACAACTGAGCATTCTAGGAAATCCAACCAGGACTGAAGTGTAAATCTCATTTAAATCAATGGGACTTCAAACATGCTTAGGTTTGTCTGTAAGGAACTCACAGTTGTATCAATCATGATGGAGGCCTATGTCAGCAATGATTTAAAAAGAAAAAAAAAATTAAGACCTTGATTGGGTTCACACATTATACCAGGTGATGGTTTGCTTAACTCTAGCTTATTAAATAAGCCACTACTTGGTGGGTTCACACAATACATTATGTCATAAAGCATAGTTTACAACCCATAATAGCTTATAAATGATCTACAAAGTACATTTAACCAGGATTGCTAAAAGCCTTTTGATTAGAAACAACCAGACACAAAGAATGAGAGATGGCAGAATCTCCCTTCTTTTGACCCATTTCAAAGCAGTTAGAATGGACTTCTCAGGTCTGTGAAAGAGAATGGTGATTTACAAAATTTTTCAGAGCTGAAACATCTACAAATTCTTCCCTTATCAGCAAAGCAAATAGCAATCTCCCCATTCTTCAAGAGGCAGAGAGCAAGAAGATCAAAGAATCCCAACCCTAATGAACTTACTGATAAATAGGATGCTAAAGTACACATATCCAGTTTTCAAAATAATGTAACTTTTTTTTTCTTTCAATAAATCTGGTTAATAAGAACCTGTGAGCATCTAACCTACTTGAAGCAGCCACTAGAATCTGGACAGAAGTGTGGAAAGACCATAGCTATAGACCAGAGGTGTGGAATACACGACTTTGAGAAAATTAATGTACTGCCCATTGGATGGTCTTTGAATACTTCTTGCTATAGAGATTTGGAAACTTGTATGAAATATACACATTAAAGATTTGATTTTGATTAAATGAGCCCTACTGTTCAAGGATGGTGCCATAAGCAGTGCATTAAACAACGGGTCTCATTAACCTTTTTGGAACAAAAATGTATGGTCTTCATTTGTGGACTAGTTGGTGAAGATTAACTGAACATCTCACTCCTTTACACCAGTAATAGAAAGTTTCCTCCATCCTATTAATAGGTTGGATTTCCATCTTTGTACGATGCTGCATACACATGGCAGTGTTTTCCCAAATCTCAAGCTAGGAAAGAAAGACATATAGATAGAAGGGAAAGAGATGGTTAAGGGAAGAGAGACAACCCTGACTGCAATATGAGTGACATGTAAGCATTCTGGGTACCATGATGAATTGAACAATATTTCAACATGTTAACTTCACAACAAAGTGTCTATCTCCATCTCTACCCTCAAAAAGGCATGATTCAAAGCTTATTACTGAAGCTAATTAATAAAATAAGGTTTAATTTGCACTTATTATTTTAATTCCCCATTTTACCTTTTAAAAGAATTGTGGATTCTTCTACCTCCTTTTTCGTTTTATACTTTTTTTGGTCTTAAATACATCAAAGCTGAAAATGAAAGTGCACCAGAGGAAGCTCTGAAATTAACTAACATTGCCCAGAAGCAGGGCTTAGCTATGATCTCATGACTTGCTTAGTTTACCCAGTTAACCCAATTTTATGGATTCCAGGACCCAGTAAACCATCAATTAAGTGCATGGGCTTTCACACACAAGCATATACACACATATATATGCACGCCAGGATAAAATGTGATTGGCTAGTGCATGGTTCCCTCAAAAGTAACTTTCTGAATTCCCACTGAACTTTACAAAAGATAGGAATGAAAGAAGTTACACAAAACCAGAGCAAATGCAGGGGTATTTGATTCCTCTCTAGTTGACTTTACCATGATCATTTACATACAATGACATAAATATAAACATGCATTTTTGAAGGCTTATGTGAAAAAATTTAGAGATGATCTTTCTAATATTTCATCTGAGATAGAAGGAGCTAAGGAGAAGGACTGGTTGTTGGTAACTGAATAAAGGCCACTGTTTGTTAAACCAACATTTCTAGTCACAGAAGATTCCCCTAGCGATACTTTTGCCATTCAACCACCAAGTGCAGATGGTGCTGCTAAGGGTTACCTTCAATAGGACCAAAAATCTATATTTTTAATGAGTCATCCCAGGCCCTTTCTTCTTTCATCCATGAATCTCTGCAACTATTTACAAACTATTTTAATGCCATGTTATTTGCTAGATTTATTCCCTGCCTTTTCTTGAGGACCTCAAAGCCTTTCCTTCTGCAATTTTATCCTGCATAGCCAACAGCTGGGAGAGAGTAACCAACTAAAGTCAACTGCTGAGAAGGCTGAGGTTGGACTTGAACTTAGAACATCCCAGTCCAACACTTAAATCATTGCACCATGCTAGTTCTTGCAGGAACAACAAATCTCCAAACTACATTCTTGTTTTGTGGATATTAATCCTCTGATCCAGCCCTTGTTATTTTTTTAAAGACTGTTCTTCATCTGGCCAAGGGTTCTCGTAAATGGTCATCCTAAGTATTTCTGCCTACTCATGGATTAGAGATATCAGTGAGCTTCTAGACTAGCCCAAGGTATCGACATTAACTTTCAAAGGAATGAGTCCTAAATATTCAGGAAGCATCTCCTTTATGAGCAGTTTGGACAGGGGTATCCACAAGAAGGTGTCAAAAATGTCAAGGTGACAGCCTCAACCTGTGATCAAATGTTACCCCCATTAGATAGACCAGATTAGGAAATCAATTCCACAGGAAGGCTAAAACTACTTTTATTGAGTTAGTCTATAATAACAATAACCTGCAAGTCTAACTGTGCCATTCCTCCTCCTCCTTATACTCTAGCAAATTAGGGAGATGTCTGCCTGAGATGCTTCTGAATGTTATCTCATTGTTCTGGACTTAAAAAAATGGTTCAGCTCCTTTTGCGTAGGCAACAGATCCTGCTTATCTCCATCAAGGTCATCTTCCTTGCTCTCTACATCAAAACCCTGCCCCCTTTTTCTAAATCTCCTCCTGAATCTGGACATTTAAGTTTTGTTTGTTAGTCCTGCTCCATGTTTCTTCTGTTAGTGAGGCAGTGAGAAGCATAGTCTTTATGGTGGAGATCCCTAAAAAGGTAGAGTTCCTTCCTACTTGGAATCAGTTTGGTATCCTCTCCCGCTTCCTATCAAAAGGAATTAAAGACTGGACAATTTTGTTGTCCCAGGTTCAAACTCTGCCATTTTCAGATAACTTTTTCTTCCTAGTAAGCTGGCCAACTCTTTGGGGGTCCTTTAACCATGAGAGAAGCTTGACAACTGGGTAAGGACACACAGGAGCATTAGCAGGATTCTTGGT